ATCTCAGGATTTTCAACACAATACCTTAAGCATATATTATGTAAAATGGCCACCAGATATGACCATTTTACATATTTTGCTTTGTGAATACAATAGTGTTCCACCAGTATCGTGCAGTACCCTAAATCTTGATTTGATCTCTATAGCTGCACGAACTTTTCTGTGCTTCTCATTATAGAGATATTCCCGTGATAAAATGGGAATATAATCCACTATCTCCCAAAGATATGCACGATGCGACAAAATACTATCTAGATTTTGTTCAGTCCACTCCATATAAATGCATCATGAGTAGTGCCTGGCCATTGTGCTATAGCATAGAGAACTCTCAGACCAGCATCCCATACCGAGAAAAACACAAATCCTAAGTCAAAAGAAAGTTTCATCTGAAATTTTAATACACAGATTTTTAACATTGAATATAGTTGATATATTAATAAATCAGTCTTTTTAAGGAGTTTACTTTCCATTTTTAACAAAAATATGTCACTGTTTTTTCATTATTAAAAATATGCAATAAAACGTTAAACAAACACACACACAACAAACAAACAAAAAAAAAAAAAAAAAATTATAGCTACCCTTTTTTTCATTAAAATTATAGTAAATAGGTGATTCTAAAATTTATTTAATATTTGTATTATTTAATATCTATACTTCACTATAATTATAGTATAGATAGCTTTTTGTTATTATTATTTGAATAATAATGAAACATTCTTGCAGTAATTTGAAATGACTATAATATTATACTTATTATCATATATTTCTTACCTTTTCACCATTAATGGAAAATTTATTTTTCCGGTTAATGAAGACAAAACAAAAATTAATATCACCACACTCGCAACATCTGCGGTTTCATTTGAATGTAACCCAAAATAATTCTTGGTAAGCTAGGTAGAATCACATTTGTGATTGCACTCCAGTTCTTTTACAGCTGGTCGAAAGAATTAACATCTACTGTATGTGGAAATAGCGAACAAAACAGTAAGAAATTGGAACAATTACCTGTGGACAACTTGTATTCATAGCATTCTAAAATGAGCTTTTGGTAAAATTTGACTGCAAATTCAAATAAAACAGTAGTAATGAACACAGTTATCAAATGGTTTTTTCACTGCAGATGGAAAGATAGGGTCACTGAAATACTTTCACTTTCTAGGGCAATTATACATGGGCAAAACCAATGTCATGTAATATAATAATCTATTAGTACAGTAAAATACATTTAATTTCTTTGTATTTATTTATGTCATGCTGCTTTTCGTGTAATTTAGTATGATAACCTTATAAGTTTATTTAATTCTGATCATGGTCTACGGAAGTAAGGTAAGTCACCTGTTATCGAGAATATCAAGTTATTAATATTTATGTGAAAGTCTGCAATAACTTTTCATATCATAAGAGATTTACGAATGTGTATATAACTTACATGTGTAGTTATTATGCAAGATCTATAGAAAAGTATCCAAAATTACCATGACATTAATCACACTGTACGAACAGGCAAGACATTATACATTAGGAGAAAATTAACTAATATTTTGGGGGATGAAATACTATTTTACACATGGGAACTGTTTAAACAGCTGAGAAAAATTCATGGTTTTTCCCCCTACAGTTACAGAATATATATATATTGTTTCATAAGAATAAAAAGTAAAGTTAAATTTAAATAATTCTCATGTGCCATTGCTGCAAAGAATGAAATTTGAATTTAACAAATATTCTCTATTCATATAAAGTTAATTTAAATTATGAAATTTTAATTGCATACATATCAAAGATTAATTATTGCTGCAAACTAATTTACTATATCACTGAAATTCTGAGAGCATATGTAAATTAAATGCACGTATCTAAAACCATGAAAAAATATATAATATTCCAAAAAACTAATCCCAAATATATATATATATATATATATATATATCTCAAAGACAGGCATATGCATAATTTCTGTTAGAAAAACAATTTCTCCGAGATTACGTTTTAGAGTAATTAAAACAATAAATTAATGGTGATATTATTACTGCATTCCAAAATTCGCAGTAATTAACGATTTCGATCATTACTACGAAAAAAAAAACGGGATGAAAAAGAAAGAATCCTGATACAATAACATTAAAAATTTGTGTGTTTACGTATAAAAATATATAATATTCTCAAATAGGTCATTTAAGCATAGTCTTTGATCGGAAACATTTCCAGAAGTATTTCAGTTTTCATAATCTGAAAGTAAAAACAAACCTGCTTTTGCAGAGAATATCCATTGGCAGTTGCCTTCAGAAAAGGTTTCAATTCATTGAAGCAAACCGATTTAATCTGAATCAACTGATGAATTCACGCTCCGACATTTCAAAAGCATTACGACTGTCTCTTAAATGCCAAGGAATTCGATCAGCATTTCTCCGATTTCTTAAACGTCTGAGCAAAATCACTTCAGCCATCTTGTTTACAGTCACTGTTAAGAGTTTGCGGCAGGTCAGGAGTAGCCGCAAAATTCCTCTATGGTAGTGACGTATTTTCAGTAGGCGTGTCCGAAAAGCGTTGCACTTGAATTCGGTTTTGCAATGCAAGTGCGATTACCATGACAAGCGTTGCACTTGAATTCGCCCCTTAATGAGATACGTTCCGCAAGAGAAGAAGAGGAAAAATGTGGTCGCGTGTTTAAGAACAACAACATCCGCAATGTGCTATGTTTACAATGCAGTCGATAGCAATTATTCCGCTGAAATTAATTGATTTTTTGAATTTAGAAATTTATAACTATTGCGAGAAATTAAAAAATATGCTTTGAAATGATTTTTCTTTTCTTGATGACAACAAGTAGGGTCTTTTGTTATTCAAGGAAAACATATGAACAATATTTGTTTCAAAGTAATGCCAGATATCACGGTACTTACAACCCGTGTTAATGCCAAAATGAAGAAATCAATTAATTATGAAACATCTGTGCAAATTTCTGGAGAAAACGAGGTAAGATTTATAAATTTTTCTTATGCGTGATGCTTACCAGTAGTAATAATGTTTTTATTAAAAATATTAATTGTATATCAGTTAATTGAAAACTATTCATAAGACCTCGAATAACGTTTCCAAGCTTTTAAATGTAAGTGTAATAATAGTATATTCATAGTTCATGAATAGTTGTTCTAAATTACTGAAATAGCCGAATTCGGGAAAGATCTGTTTATCTGCAAGAACATAAATACAAAGCCAATTTTCTCTCATTAATATTAATTAGTGTCATAGAACATTTTATGCTGCTAAAATTTTATTAATTTTATCAGGCTATATTTTCATATTTTAGCTGATGTAATCAATTTTTAATGAATACAGATAAATATCGGAATGTTATTTTTTTAATACCTTCCATTGTAGATATTAAGGATACCAACAGCTGTAATATTAGAAACATCAGTAATACTGAAACATTTTAATATAAAAGGATGCTTTTATAAGAATTTATACTTAATTCTAAATTTTGATGGGAGATTGCTGAGTTTTTTAGTTTAAATATTAAATTAGCATGTATATTTAGTCCTTGAAAATCAGTGGTTGTGTCAGTCCATAGTTTGAGATAACATGTTAACAGATATGCATTAGAATTACACTATAGTCTATTTCCTATGGTAGATCTTTTCAATAAATAAATTTAAAAATCTTTTTGAGCTATATGATTTTAAAATAAAAATTTCTGCACATAAATTATGGAATTTACAAGATTAAAAATAACTTCAAATTTATTTTTTGAATATTTAAAATGTATATAGATAGTACTTTTTTGTTATTTATTATTATAAAATGAAAAAAAAATTATTATGAAAATTTATTAGTTCCACAGCTAGTACTGCAGTGAACTCAGTTGCACAAATCTCCATATTTTTCTTTGTGACATTTATATTATAGTATACAAAATGTGTTATTTTGCAGTTTATACTATCAATAGGATAATTGTCGGATACCGAATTCAAAACTCAGCTATAAATCGATATTCCTAGACCTCAAAACTTAAATAACGTACAAAGTTTTAACACAATACTCTTTTTATTCTTTGTAACATTAATAATTGCAACGCTTATATTATAAAACATCTAACTACGAATATGAAGACAACTTTCATTAAATTCAAACAAATACTCTTTTCACTTGCCAGACTCAGAATCACAAACGATAAACACGTGAAGTTATACTGAAAATTATTATAAATAATAAAATAAAATAAAAGTAAATTTAACATAATTTTAACACTCAGTGCATAAATTTAACAATCAGTTTTCTACAATAATAGTCAGTTGCTAAACAATAAAATTTTAAATTGTATAAAATTATATATTAATTTTGGACTGTGCAGAGCATTTAATGATTTAAGGACTAACTGCATTAACGGTATTCCGGAAATTTGACTATTACGATTTTCAGAAACCAACTTTTTATATTTACTGTTCTGCTTGTTAAGCTGATAAAATTATGACTTAAAATATAGTAATTTCTTTTCGGTGTAGAAGAGCAATATATGTAAACATGATTTTATGTATTCCTTTTTACATTTTTTATAAATGAATTAATTCACAGATCAAGGAAAGAATTCATAAATAAATATTAACAATCAAATCATGGTAAAGCAGCGAACAAAAGAGTATCATGAAGATAACAATAACATAAAAGTTACCAAAATTATACTAACCAAATGAATGAAAAGTTAATTAATTGTTGAAATAATAATTAAAGATGAAATGCAAATTTCATAGCTAATTAAAAGTAAACAAAGTTGCCGAATTTTTAAGCACATCTACCACAGCACAAGCTTGTTTGTTTACATTAGCAGTTCTTACATCACGTGACGTCACCGGAAATGTATCTCATTTATTTAATTTAGGTTTTTTTGACGAACTTCACTATTTTTGTGAATGGCAACAGGGTATTGTTGATTGAAAAGTCGAAAATGTTGCATGTAGTAATGTTTTGGAGGGTTGGTGCGAGTTGTGAGTAGTGATGTGTTTTTTTTTTTTTTTTTTTTTTTAAATTTGCGTATACATAAGTTTATTTGTTTTGTGGTGTGTGTTGATCAATATTCTTTGGCGTGTGGTCTACAAGAACCTTGATGTTTATGCTAATATACATCCAAGGCCTAGCTAACGAGTGATGGACTATGATTCACGTTTACGTTAAACTAAATAAACTTTTCTCAGTGCAGTCTAAGATGCATGGGCTACTGATGAAAATAACTTCAGCTGTGATAGTTGCATTTCTTATATGAGAGATCACTTTCGTTTGAACTGACTGTTTAATTCATTCATCTTAAAACTGATGAGAGAAGGTAAGAGAAACGAATAGGTACGGTTTATTTCGAAATATTTATGAATTAAAATACACGTTTGCACGCATTCGCTTAGCATGCTAAATATGTAAGAGGGTTTTTGAAATCTATAATTGAGTGTAGTGATGAATTTGCTTTCTTTTTGCCCACCTATGACCATACGATTAAGACTTCATGTCTAGTAGTATCTCTTGTCTTCAAATGTTAGTTGTTGAACAGGCTGATCGCCTTTGATTTTTATAGTTTTAGGGGGAAAGTGCAGAATCGCCCACTGCTTGGCGCGTTTTTAAGAATTGCACAGACTCGGTATCCGTGTACACATCGACCTATTTTCACTTTAAAAAAAATCCCAGAATTGGACAAAAATGTCATTGTGCACTCCCTTGACTTTATCCATGTATACATCGACCTATTTTCACATAAAATGTCAAAGAAAATTGACAAAAACCCAATTCTTCTTACTCTTGTAAAAAGCGCCAAACAAATAAGTGGGCGATTCTGCACTTTACTGAGTTTTTTTTTATATTTAACCTGAATGCAAGATATTTAAATTGTGAAAATTATACGCATTCCTCCAAGGAATATTGCATTGTATTTTGCAATAATGAATTATCTGGTTAATCTTTGGATTATGGTAACTTGGCGAAAATTTGGCGACCAACCCTGCTACAGCAACCTGCTAGTTTTTGTTTAAAAGTTTTCTTGCTAGTTTAAAAGTTATCATTTTTTAACTCTTTAGAAAATGAATCAGTATTCTGATTTGCATTAGTAAAGGTTCACTAACCATACTAGGGTATTCTTCCTCTGATAAATAGCCCCTTCCCGCCATAATAGACTGGAGGTGAGGCTTTCCTAAATAAAAAAAGAAGGAACGGAAATATATCTAAAGGCAATGCAAAATGTAAAAAAACTCCGCACGGGAACCCTAAAAGACCGTACTTAGTAGAGGAAAAAAATAGAAAAAAAGGATTGGATATAAATCATACGAGAATGTTTTCATTAGCACGCAGCAATTTAAAGAGCCCACCTCTGTGTACGCTTTCCCTCTGCCCCCCCACCCTCGAACAGCTGATGAGTAAAATACCAAAGTCAAGCAGAATATACCAAACTCAAGGTTAGGAACCTAAAACTGTTTTCATTTCAAAAGTAATGGACACAGGATGCCATCTAGTGGCCTTCAGAAAAACGTTCCATCTTAAAATGCGTATACACATCACCCGTCCTCTGAATGCGATCTTTACTGATGCGTGGATGGGACGCCCGGCTATAAGAGACGTTCTTAGGGAATGCGTATATGGGACGCCCGTCCTGAAAGGTTAAAACAGAGCCACCAGTAGCTGCCAGCAAGGTTATTGGTCTCGCTACATCTCCGATTTTTGAGAAAATGAGCAATAAAGTATCTGCCTCCACCTGAAAGGAATTCCCGCCTGTCAATCAAGATTAAAATTTGCACGAGAAAGCTATCATTTCACCACCCTTTTGAGATGATTTAGTGCCAAAGCTTCGAATGGCGAGCATTTTATCTCCCTCTTGACCTCCATAACATCTTGACCCTGAAACACTTCAGACCACTTTAGTCAGTGAACTGTGCACGTGTCGTCTTCCCTGCCAAAATGCCACGGCAGTACTTCACGTTATCTGAAAAAATTGGTTTCCTGGATAAGATCAAGCAACAATCACGAAACACTAGTCAGCGTCGGCTGGTGGAAATTACCAGATTAGCAAAGACTACAATTTCACGCTAATTCGCACTGCGAGAATAATGGGAAGGATGAGGAGGAACTTCCAAAAAACTGAAGCATGAAGGCAAGGATCCAGACCTCGACGAGGCTATTAATGATTGGTTTGCCATTGTTACTAGACAAGCTGTGTGAGTAAGTGACCCAGTGTTAAAATGCAAAGCAGAAGAACTCTCTAAAAAGCTGGGCCACGATGACTTTAAAGCTACGGGCAGTTGGTTGTCTCGATGGAAATCTAGACATGACATAAAATTCAAGAAAGCACATGGCGAAAAAGAAAGGGTTGTTAGTGAAGATGCTGAAGAATGGAAATTAACAAAACTGCCCGAGCTTCTTGAAAATTTTTCAGTAGATAACATCTACAATGCTGATGAAACTGGGCTGTGTTATCATGCTATATCAGATGCCTCATTAAGTTACAAACATGTTGCAATCTCTGGCTCCAAAACAGGCATGGATCGCGTAACTGTCTTGGGCTGCTTAAGCATGTCAGGAACGGACAAGAGGAAGCTGTTGGTTATAGGAAAAAGCACTAAGCCTTGCTGCTTTAAAGGACTTAGGATGGGGAGTTTACCAGTTGTGTATCGTGCGAACAGAAATGCGTGGATGACCATATTTAGAAGCGAAAAAAGAAAATAGTATGTGATTTTTAACGAGTTATTATTTGAGTGAACTTCTTTTGCATGCTAATTACTAGTACAGGACTAGTGTGACAAATGTGTGCATTACTGTGATTTTTTTTAAACTTGCTTAAATGAGAAAGATAAGTTTTTAAAAAAATATTTATGAAAATAGATGTTGGTTTTTTTAAAAAATTGTCTTAGAAACTGTTTATTATACCTTCTAATTACTTTCCCTGTAAATAATACAGCCAAAAATTGTTTTTACATTTTTAAAATTTGCTTTTATCCTAAGCAGAAATATAATTTGGTAAAAATATATTTATGGGTGCCAATTGGCAATTTTTGGTGGTACATGGATATAGAGTTTGCGCAATTCTCTGACTTGTTATTTTGGCTTTGCGTATCATCAATTTTGAATTGCACAACTTTGGCATTGTGCACTCCCTTGATGTTGTCCATGTACACATCAATCTATTTTCACTTAAAAAGTCAAAGGAGCAGCCAACAAAAAATATATAATCTCAATAAACTACATTTTAAATCGAACAATCAAATAACATAAAAAGGGAAATTCATCTTAGCACTACACAAAGGAAATATCCATTTACTTTATTTAGAAATTTTCCTGTCATAAGTCAGGAAAAAAATATTTAACAGCATCCAAAAACTTCCTTAAATTATCTGAATTTGAACTGGCATCACCATGTAAATTCCACAAAGAGTCAAAAATATCCTCCGACGTTCGATCATAATGCATTTCCTTCCTACATGCAGGACACTTATAATGGCTACTAAGTAAACCTTTCATTTATTTACACACCAGTCAGTTAATGCTCTTTCCCCCTTTAATTCCAAATCGTACAGAAACTTCAAATTAATCTTACCACATTCAGCCATTTTACTGTCTAAACCAGGGTTTCTTAAACTTTTTTCAACCGTGACCCCTTTTATCACTGAGATTTTTTTGCGACCCCCCCAGGACTCCATAATATTTACAAAAAGTTTGTAGCCCCCATGAGTATTGTGCAAATCTGACACACGCATGAGGGAAACCGTCAATATTAGGTCTTTATCTTTAATTTCTAATTTTAAGACATAGAACAATGTGAAAATTTTAAATAAGTAACAGACAAAATGACAGCGTCACATGCAAAGCAAGGAAAATGAACGTTTATATTATAAAAAGAATGCATCGAAATGTTTTTGTTTTTTTTCTTTGTCTGTATTGTCTTATCTTTATCTATTTTCAGGTACATTGTGTAAAAATATTTGGTAATTGTAAAATTATTATAATAAGTTAAAGAAATATCAAAATTGCTAAAATTTTTTGCGACTACCTGCTGCAGGTCCTGCAACTCACAGTTTAAGAAACCCCGGTCTAAACTACAAAACAGCAAAGAACTTCCTAACCAACACAAGCTCTTAGAAATCTTTTCCCATCATTCAAATTCACCGCAATCACGCAACCAATTACGTCATAATAGGGTTTCCATAACATTCTACTACTCAGGTTACTATAAATGAAACAACTTGGCAATAAATGAAACAACAACTTCACCGTAATACAAGGGCCACCCTTAAATTTACTCTAACCTGTAATTTTTGTAATATTTATTAAAACTGATGTTTTATTTATTTTTTTAATTAGCTTAGAAATTGTTTGTTGTACTTATTATATTTTCTTTTAAAAATTATGTTTTTGTAATTTTTAAAAACTCTTAAAATTTCAGTTTTCATGAAGTCTCTAAAACTTTTAAAGGGGCTTATAGCCAAAGTGTCTGCTTTTAGTTAATGCATTGCGAATTATTTTCATGAAGCTTTTAGGAATCTGGTAGAAACTTCATTTTGATTTCTTGCTTCTATATTACTACATAATTTTATTCCAAAGCTTTATGGTCATTTCGGTTTCACATCATGCTTTAATTTCAAGAGGTAGTTATTCAAACACAAGTTTTCTTTGTGAAGGATGCCTTTTTCTTGAAGAAATAACAATAGTTGCTTGTTCATCTCTTCACAGATCCCAAATCACGAAATTGATTGCAGTATTACAAAAAAGGGCAACCATGAATTAAATAAAAAGCGTAGCTGTTCAAGCGATGATTATAAATACAGAAAAGCCAAACCAAAATGGTACTTTCTGACATTGAGGAGATAATGCCACAACCTAAAAAGTACTGAGTGGAATGTTCCTAACAGAAAAGTGCCGATATTTTCAGGAATTTCCAAAATATTCTGAAAAGTTTTAGTCTGTTTTAAAGTGCTTTTTGAATAAACTTGTGGATATTCTCATAGTATTTTTTAAATTTAGTCTCCAAAGTTGTTTTTTTTTTTTTTACTTTTTAAGTATTTGAGCAAATGAGGGCTCAGTTTTGGATGCCTGGGTTAAGTTCTAACCCAGCATTTGAGTGATTTTAGTATGGAGTTTTACAATTTTCAAATAGAAGTGATAGAATGAGTGATTAAGATAGCGATTTCAATAAGAAGCAGAGGAAGTGTTACTAAGGGTGACAAGGGGGATTGTTGGAATAGTTTTCATTTTTAATAGCTAGTGATTGATTGGAGGAAAAGGATAATTGACTCTTTTCAGGTAACTGTTTAAAATTTATAATGGGAGAAAAAAAAATAAATAAATAAAGGAGAAAGTAAATGATTTCATTTTAATTTAAAATACTAAAAATTAGATAGTGATGAATGACTAAATTTTTTGACCATAGGTAAATACAGTTAATAATTTGGAACAGGGGGGTTAAGATTGATATTACTTGAAGTTTAGCTATAAGAATGAGGTCTGAACTGCAGTGGTAGGTTATAGCTATGAACCTTAGTTCAGTGCAAATGGGATATCGTAATTCAGATCATAGTTGGCCCATGGAGAGAAATTGAAGCATATCATATGATATGCTAGTAGTGTAAAGGTGAAAAAGCAGATGAAAGACAAAATATTACTATAAAGCTCTTTTAAGGCTATTTTTTTTAAACCTTGATTAATTAAATTTTTTATTTTATATTAAATTTCATGTTAAACTGTATATTTCTGATAGAGGATCAGTGACTAGCTAGAGTATGGAGATAAAGTTCTCCATCCATATTTTAGACTTTTCATGAAGTCTTTCAACCTATATTTCCTCATGAGTAATAATGTCTGATCTCATGAAGCTGATATAATAGATGCGTTTTGAATTTAGAGGATAGTAACTATAAATGGGTTGACGATATATATTCATTGGATATTATCTGGTATTGAGCATGTTTGGGATGCTTTATAGATACTGAGTTACAAACTACCATTCATTTTACTTAGATCAGTCTTTCTGAAGGAGTGGCTGTTGATTTATCTAATAGTATGAATAACTGTGTAGAAAAACATTGCATTTGCTATATGACAGTTCAAGGTAATTGCATGCCACATTGACTGGTTTAAACAAAAATTTGATGGTTTCTTTGTTTACAATTTCTGCTCACATATGAACAATTTTTTTGTAGGGATTTACTGTACAATTCTTCAGCATAGAAATTATGTAATATTGGCTTAAAAAAGCTTTTGCTGAATTCCACCAGACTGTTTTCAGTGCATTATGAGTATTAGGAAATTCTGAAGTAAACTTTAATGTTGAAAACCAGATTAAAACAGATACTGTACCTTATAATAAAATGTTGTGTTTTTTTATTTAATTGAAATTAGAGATTTCATTAATAATATAAGTACAAAACTATTTATGGAAATACCCATATGAAAATGATGTGATGTTTATGTTTGATATTTTCTTGATGTTATTTGAATAGTAATATTTTTTTTTTAAATATTTAGCAAGTCATTTCTATTTATTTGTATTTTCTAAAATTATAGAATATGGATTGTGAAAAAAAAGTGCCAACTGAAACAGAGTATGTTAGAAAGAAAGATGAAATCCAAAATCTCGATGACGCTGGAGAAGTGGTGAGAAGTATCATTGGTAAGTAATTTTGTTTAAAATTTGCATTGATAAAAAATGTGGTATGTAAAAATGTGGCTGTGTAGAGACGGAAATATTAGCAATCTTTCACATTCTAAAATTTGTCTATGCAAGAGGTTTTTCAAATTATATTGTCTTTAATTCAACCTTATGGCCGTAATTTGCTGTTTGCCCATTGATGTGTAATTTTTCTGCAAGTAACTTTCATTCTGTTTGATCTTTTTGAGTATTTTGCCATTTCTTCTCTTAAATTAGCAGAGTTGCCAGCAAAATAGTCTAGATACAAATGCAAAAACTATAATTTTAAGTTTGCTTTGGATCCTGAATTCTTATGCATTTTTGAACAAAACTATTACAGCACTAGCTCAAAAAAACCTTACATCCAAGCTGAGTAATTTTCAGCAAGTATATCCTGGAAATATCTGCTCTGCTGTGACAAATTATAATAATTTTTAAGTAGTGTTATTGTAAACAGAATGCAGAAGGCCATGAGCATTGCAATTGTAAATTGATAGCAGGAGCACTGGATGCTGTAGAAATTGGAGAGGAAATCTCTTTAATTGTGGCACTAAGGATATAAAATTTTAATTCTGTTCTTTTGGTTAATGGGGCACAAGTCGCCGAATGTGTACCAAATATGATAGCCTGTATCGCATCTTGAACAATTGAGCAATGATAGTAATTACACATCCTATACATATTATATTTATTGTACATAAAATATTCTTTTTATGAAGCTTTGTATGTCATATGTGCTATCTATTTAGATTTCACGCTATATTTAGCATTAAATGGCACCACTGCCGACAGAAAAAGCACTAAAATACTACTGAAACAAGGCTGTTACCTTTCGGAAGAGTAGAAATTGAGCTTTTGTATAGAACTATTATGTGGAAGTGAACTTGTTGTTATCAGCATCAAACATTAGTGGTTCACAATCTTTTTTGAAGCCATTGCACCCCTTTCACCATTGCTAGATGATCATTTCTCCTCTTTCTTCCGGAAAATAAAAAATAAAAAATAAAAAATAATAAAAAAAAAACACTGTATATTATTTTTTAATATGTTTTATAAGTTAAACAAGCAAAAGTATAGAAAATATTGATAAATACCAAAGCTTGAATAAAAGTTTTGTATTTATAACTAAAACAAAATAATAATTGATAGGATAAATAACAATAATAATGAATGATTTTTTATATTCATAAACTAAAAATACTTAACAGGTAAATAAAAGGCTGACTGAATTTCCTCCTGAAACTATGAAATTCCCATCAGGGGATAATCCTCCCCAACTGAGAATTGAAGTAATGTGAATAACTGAAGTAGTTAGAAGCTAGGGAGAAATAGATGCTTGAGAAATTAAAACATTTTCAGTTGTCTGTCATCATCTGGCAATATATTTGGTGAATTTAGTAGATATCCAGTATAAGCTCTTTTCGGCTGATCTTTAGAATATGGTAACTGGTAGTTTGGCGACATTTTGGAGGCGATAAAGGTTACTACCTGGGACTTTGGTAATAATGTGAACAGTAAGTACTCAGTTCCGATTACGCATTATTTTGTGTGAGGGAAATGAGAGATCATGGGATGTGTCATGTGATATTAATGGACGAATTACGGTTCTTTAATCGGAAAAGGGGGGAATCGGGAAAAAATCTGGAAATTTTGTATTTGGCTTTATTCTGTGTTGTGTGAAACAGTGTTCGTTAATTTTTGGATCCCATGGCCCTAACTAAAGTGAATTCGAAATGGGTATTTAGTGGGATTGAAAGGGGTAGTAATAGGTGTTTCTTTAAGGTTGTGCGAGATAGAAGTAAAGATGTTTTATTAAGTTATTTATTTTACCTGGTACCTTGCTGTGAACTATAAGTATGATTTTAAAGATCCTGAAACAGGCGCACATACGCTTGCTTTTTATTTAGTGGATGAAATAAGAAAAGTTTATCGGACATGTAATCAAGATTCTGAAGAAGATTAGGTAAGTTAGTATTTTTAATTATTTGAGGATATTATTTTTATGCATTGTTCTAAATGTAAGGTGGAAGTAAAGTAATTTTATGTTTGTAGGAATTTGGTATACGTTTTAGTTGAAGTAAACGTGCATGGAAGTAATTTAAATATTTGACACAAAGTACTTGTAATGTTTGCGGTATGAATTCGTTGGTGACGTTTATAATATAATAGATAATTTAGAGGTAAAGTTTTTGGATATTTTATTTATTTTATACGTGGAAATGTTCATATTTGGAAAGGGTATATACTTTTTCGTTATTAGGTAATTTCATATATGTTCTTTTTAACAGGTTTAAAGATTCAGAAAATTGTCATGCATTTTCGTGAAATTTTTCTAATTTATGAGAAAAAAGGAGTGTACATGGATATGGTGAAGAGTGTGCACGATGCCATTTTTGTGCAATTCTGGGATTTTTTTTTAAAGTAAAAATAAGTCGACGTGTACATGGTTTAGTGATATTTTAATTAAATGATAGTTATTTGTGAATTTTATGTTTGTAGGAATTTGGTATACGTTTTAGTTGAAATAAACGTGCATGGAAATAATTTAAATATTTGACACTAAGTATTTGTTATGCTCGTGGTATGAATTCGTTGGTGACGTTTATGATATAATAGATGATTTAGAGGTAAAAGTTTTTGGATATTTTATTTATTTTATATGTGGAAATGTTCATATTTGGAAAGGGTATATACTTTTTCGCGGTTTAATCCTAGTATCCGGTGCACACGGGATTTGGCGACTTTATGATAAGCAGTAAAAACGGGACATATACGATGAGTAGTAAACGGGTCGGTTGATCTTTACATTATGGTAACTTGGCGATTTTTTGGCGAAAATTTGGCGACCAACTCTCCTACAGCAACCCTCTATTTTTTTTTCCGTCGCCATTTTGTCTTCACGAAGTAAAGACATGTTTCTTTTCTTTTTATCTACTGAACACTTCTTCCAACAATCTACTAACTGAATTACAAATTTTATCTAACAAAACTGCTTATTCATGACAAATATTCACTGCAAAATTGGGAAAAAGTGCACAATGCCATACTCCTTACGCGTTTTTCAAAATAACACATACACATAAACCATGTACACATCGACTTATTTTTACTTAAAAAAACATCCCAGAATTACACAAAAATGGCATTGCGCACACTCTTCACTATATCCATGTACACTGCTTTTTTCTCATAAATTAGAAAAATTTCACGAAAATACGTGACAATTTTCTGAATCTTTAAACCGGTAAAAAGAACATATATGAAATTACCCAATCGCAAAAAAGGTAAAATCCTAGTATACGGTGCAGCCTTGGCGCGATTTTGAAAATTATTGCCAACACCAAAAATGATCCAAAGAACGTCTATGTATATAGACTATACACTATATACTATGTGTGTACATACATAGTATATACACTATATACATAGTATTATACTATGTATAACTATATATATTCTTTTGAATGACCCGTTGGCTGATCTTTGGAATATGGTAACTGGTAGTTTGGCGACATTTTGGAGGCGATAAAGGTTACTACCTAGGACTTTGGTAATAATGTGATTTATAATGTGATTTATATGTGATTTGGTAATAATGCATTTCCGATTACGCATTATTTTGTGTGAGGGAAATGAGAGATCCTGAGATATGTAATGTGACATTAATGGATGAATAATCGTTGTTTAATCGTTGTTTAATCGTTGTTAATCGGTTGTTAAAGTTGTTTAATCGGAAAAGGGGGAAATCTGGAAATTTCGTATTTAGCTATATTCTGTGTTGTGTGAAACGTGACATTAATGGACGAATTACAGTTCTTTAATCGGAAAAGGGGGTTAATTTGGAAAAGCTTCATTGTGTGTTGTGTGAAATAGTGTTGATTAATTTTCGGATTGCATGGTGCTATGTAAAATGAATTCTAAATTTTTAATGCGTTTATCTAATAATAATAATAAGTTGAGATTGTGTAAAAGGAAGGGTATTACAAGTTTAAATGGCGGTGCAAGAAATGTGGTGAAAATGGACATTTTGTGAAAAGGAGTGTAAGGAAGGGTACGTGGTTTGCTGAAAGTAGTTTGAGTATAGGTGAAATTTTATTAATTTCTTATTACTTGGTGAATAGACTTCCAGTTGACTATTGGATTTAGGATTTAGAAATTAGCAGTAGTACTGCAGCGACGTAATGAAGATTCTGAAGAAGATTAGGTAAGTTAGTATTTTTAATCATTTGAGGATATTATTTTTTATGCATTGTTCTAAATGTAAGGAGTAAATAAATTAATGTGGTATTATTGGAAAAATTGGTATTAGCAATGATTTAGTTTAAAGTAATTAGGATTGTAATCTAATTTTTATAATTTAATAATGTATGTGCTTATTATATTTTAAGTAGTGTTTTTAATTTAATTATATTTTAATTTAATGATCATGATTTTGTGAGTTATATGTTTGTAGTATTTTGGAATATGTTTGAGTAGTATACGTTGAGTATTTTCATGCATTTTCGTGAAATTTTTCTAATTTATGAGAAAAAAGCAGTGTACATGGATATAGTGAAGAGTGTGCACAATGCCATTTTTGTGCAATTCTGGGATGATTTTTTTTAAGTAAAAATAAGTCGACGTGTACATGGTTTAGTGATATTTTAATTAAGTGATAGTTATTTTGTGAATTTTATGTTTGTAGGAATTTGGTATATATTTTAGTTGAAGTAAACGTGCATGGAAATAATTTAATATATTTGACACTAAGTATTTGTAATGTTTGCGGTATGAATTCGTTGGTGACGTTTATAATATAATAGATAATTTAGAGGTAAAAATTTTTAGATATTTTATTTATTTTATACGTGGATTATTAATGTTCATATTTGGAAAGGGTATATACTTTTTCGCGATAAGGTAATTTCACATATGTTCTTTTTACCGGGTTTAAAGATTCGGAAAATTGTCATGCATTTTCGTGAAATTTTTCTAATTTATGA